TGAGGCAGCAGCTCCACACTCTAAGTCCTAATCTGATGCCCTGCCGGCACTGCTTCCGGCCATCCTTAACCTCAGTTCAGGGTCCACTCTGTGTGGACATGCTAGTTCGAATTAGCAAAACGCTAATTCGAACTAGTTTTTAAGTCTAGATGCACTAATTCGAATTAGCTTAGTTCAAATTAACTAATTCGAACTAAGTTAGTTCGAATTAGTGCTGTAGTGTAGACATACCCCTACTTTCAAATAAGAGAATTCAGTGGCAAAATCCTAGCACATCTATAGCACTGAGAAGACGGAAGAAAGGCGAACAGTAAAAGACTCTTTCACTCTCACAAGACCATGTCAGAATACTGAGCTATTTAAGCTCTTTTGACTAAGGGCCTGGACCTTATGAAAGAAGGCGTTGCCATACCAGGCCAGTCTGAGGTCTGTCTACTCCATAATCTCTGATGGGCATGTTTATCCAGAAATAAAAGATCCAAAGCATGGCAGTAACTGACCTGAGTTTACATACTGTGATTGCAGAGTTCAAATGCAGGGATAAAAATGCTGTGTAGACATTCAGTCCCTCTACTCTTGGGCTACGTCTAGACTGGCATGATTTTCCGGAAATGCTTTTAACGGAAAAGTTTTCCGTTAAAAGCATTTTCGGAACAGAGAGTCTAGATTGGCACGGACGCTTTTCCGCAAAAAAGCCCCGATCGCCATTTTCGCGATCGGGGCTTTTTTGCGGAAAAGCATCCATGGCCAATCTAGATGCGCTTTTCCGCAAAAAAGCCCCGATCGCCATTTTCGCGATCGGGGCTTTTTTGCAGAAAACAAATCTCAGCTGTCTACACTGACCGCTTGAATTTCTGCAAAAGTACTGACTTCCTACTGTAAGAAATCAGTGCTTTTGCTGCTCCCATTCGGGCAAAAGTCCCTTTTGTGCAAAACTTTTGTGCAAAAGGGCCAGTGTAGACAGCTGGCAAGTTTTTCCGGAAAAGCGGCTGATTTTTCGGAAAAACTGGCCAGTCTAGACACAGCCCTGCAGTCCCAGAGTTGGGCTCCAGCCTGAGCTTGAACATCAACACCATGATATTTTATCCCGGGAGCCTAAGCTCCATGAGCTTCATTCAGCTGTCTTGAGCCAGCAGTGGGTTTGCTATCCCTGTATAGATGAAGCTATAAAGGCCAATGACTGATGCTTCAGAAGAAGGTGTAAGAATCCACTGTAGGCCGAAATGGGAAATTTCTCCCCTCTTTCCCACATTAACCTACCAATCTAACCTAAGACAGTGGTTTGAATCCTGATGCATGAGGTTTAATGTCCTCTCAAAAACTTTTGCAAGCATTAATTGCAATAACTTTAGATATTCTTATTATCCATTACATGGCCAGTTCCTTTTGGAATATTGCTAAATTCCTGGCCTCAGTGACTTCTTGTGGCAATGAGATCTTCTACATACTATGTATTGGGTGAAAAAGTCTTCCCTTTTATCCGTTTTGGATTGGCCACGTTTTAATTTTATTGACTGTACCATGATCCAAGTCTTATTGAAAGATTTCTCATTGACCCCAATGGTCTCAAGGCCTGGTCAGTAATGAACCTGAATAGTGCATCTGTAAATTTACATAAACAAATTCTCAACTTCAAATACATTATTAGTCTCACTGACCTCAAAAGGACGATTCACGTGGAAGTTAAGCACATGCATAAATCTTTGCAGAATGGATACCTAAGAATTACACTGAGATTTGGTCACACAAAGCTTTTGTCAAACAATTTGAATCTCAAGTGTATAAATTCACAGGTCTGTTTGCAGACAATCCATGAACAGGAAAAAGAGCAAAATTCACCTTATACATTATGGGTATGTTTACACTGCCACCCTAGTTCGAACTTGGGTGGCTAATGTGGGCATTCGAAGTTGCAAATGAAGCCCGGGCTTCATTTGCATCTTGCCGGGCGCCGCCATTTTTAAATCCCCGTTAGTGCGGACTCCGTGCCCGCGGCTACACGCGGCACGGAGTAGGTAGTTCGAATTAGGCTCTCTAATTCGAGCTACCGGTACACCTTGTTCCACCAGGATATTTAAATCCCGGGCTTCATTTGCAACTTCGAATGCCTACATTAGCCACCCTAGTTCCAACTAGGGTGGCAGTGTAGACATACCCTCTCAGTTGTAAGTTGTTCATTAGCATTAATAGAATCAAATTATTTTTCTCATTAAAGAGTTAAGACTTATGTCTCAGAATCGAGGCTTTGTTGGTAAATGCAGAGATGAGCACAAGCCAAGCTCTTGCTTTTAAAAAGTTATACAACTAACTATGCTAAGAAGGATTGGAAAGTTGTTATTACTCAATATGTTACTATTTTAAAAATAATTTTGCTAATCATTTCTTTGCAATTTCTCTCTCTGTCACACTGCTAGTTGGGGCTAAAAATACAAGGAAGATGGTTCGTATTTTTGCCAAATAGTTAGGCAAAGGTTCAGGGTTGTTTACGCATGTGACGTGCTAGGTGCTCATCAAAAAATATGGCTGTGAAGGAGATGGGTGAACTAATCTGGGCAATTATCCCTTGAATACTAGTCTGAAACTGACCTGAGTTCCCATTTGTTTGAGTTTCACTCATATGAATACCAGGTCTTTGCTAGTGACTGCTTATCTTTTTCTTTCGTAGCTTTAGATCATTTTTTCCAATTCTTATGCTTGGATTGTCAAGAGGGGAGGGTTATTTTGTTACAAATAGGCAGGGGTGCCATATCCAACTACTCTTAGTACAGACTGGAAAAGAGGGAGGGAGGCATGTTAGAGAATTTACCCAGTTGGGATTTGATTGCTCCAGGCAAGCACAAACTCTGTCCATGTGGAGCTCATCCTTCTTCCCTCCAGTTTGAGTTCTGACAAGAATGCTCTTTGAGTTTATTCATCTCTCCTCTCCCTCATGGAAAAGTTAATCCTGAATTCTTTGTCTTTCCTTTCTTGAATCCAGTAACTATTTGCTTGTGTACCATGGAAGGAGGATGCATGCAAGAGGTTGGAAGGATGGAAGGGAGGCCTACAGTGATTTCTGCAGTGAGCATTATCGTTGGTACCTTGGGAACCATAGGTATGGAATTGCCCACAGAAATAAAAAAAATTAATTTTGCATCAGAGAACACGTTGCTTGGGTGTGCAACTCAGGAAATAGTTGGTTGGGTTTTGTTGGGAACTAAAAGGAGGAGGAGGCAAAGGAGGGCATCCCTAGGCACTGTGAGGTGGGGCGGGGGGCAGAGGAGGGAATCCTCCCTCTGAGAGAAGTGGCAGGGGAAGAGAGAAATTGCATAGGACCCTCCCAGCAGGGGGGATCCCCACGAACCCATGTGGAGGGGCAGAGGAGGGAGAGTGTTCAGGGCCTGAGCGGAGTGGCTCAGAGGGGAGGAGGAGGAAAGAGGGCATCCCTAGGCCTGTGAGGAGCCACGCAGGGGAGGGGGAAGGGCCTGGACCTTATGTGGTGGGAGGGGGGAGAGAGGGAGGGAATCCCCAGGCCCCATGAGGAGGCACAGGGCAAAGGGAATCCCCATGCTGTGGGTGAAGTGGGAGGAGAGAGAAATCGTTCGGCCCCATAGAAGCCCCACACTGCAGGGTGGAGAATGTCCATGCAGCCGTGGGGAGTGGCGGAGGAGGGGGAATGTGCAGGTCCCCTTGGGCAGGGGGTGGGAGGGAAAATCCCCAGATTCTGTAGCCCGGTATGGGGAGTAATGCCCAGGCGCTGTAGCTGCGGGGGAGGGAGGAGAGCCTTACCTGTAGAAGGTGGCCTGGCCAGCAACATGCAGAACCCCGTCCCCCAGCCAGTCAGTCTCATGCTGGTGCAACTTTCCCCAGTGTTTGCTCTGCAATATCCTGTCCCCACTCACTGCACCCAGTGGTGAGCATGAGAATCCCATCCCTCCTCTCTCTGCCCCTCCCTTTCCATGGTGAGGGTGGGAAGCCCCATTCCCCTCACTTTCCATGTTCCCAGCACAACCAAACCCTGACCTTGCTTTAAGATAGGGTAAGAGGAAGCTGCCTACCAAATTTGGTGGTCCTAGCCGAGGGGTCAGCAACCTCTTTTCAAACCAAAGAGCCAAACTCCATCAAAGTTGAGAACAAGTGGTCAACCAAGAGCCGTATACGAATGCCCATTTGCATGACTGACCATATACAACTGAATATTACTGATAATTGACATAATGGTTAATAATAGCATAAATGAAACATGGTGCTCACAGACTTTTATTTAATGGGACTTCTGCTGCTGCATCTTTTCACACATTTCTTTGAAGTTTACATTGTAACTGGTCAAAACCAGCTTCATGCAGGCATTCAGGCTGTCTTCTGTCAATGGGAGGGGGGTGGGGATGTGGGTGTAAGATGGGCTCAGTGCAGGGGATTTGAGTGTGTGGGGGTGCAGGAGTGTTATGGCAGGGGACTAAGGATCTAGGTGTGCAGGAGTATGGGAATGTTGGGGTGCAGGAGTTTGGGAATGTGGGGTATTATGAGGGGCTCAGTGCAGGGGGTTCAGGTGATTGATAGGTTCACGGCAGGGGATTGGATGTGGGTGCCAGGAGTGTTATGACAGGGGACTGGGAATGTGGGGGTGCAGGAGTTTGGGAATGTAGGGAGATGAGGGAGTCAAGGCAGGGAGTTGGGGTATATGATGGGCTCAGGGTTGGTATGTGTGTGGGAGATGCAGGAATGTTATGACACTGTGGCCAGAGAGGGCCGGGGCCCAGTTGGGGGTTTGTTGGCCAGGCTTCATTTTTAAATCAAGTGAAATATGATGTCCAACACAAAGTTTCAACAGTATCTTTATTGATAGCAGGAGCAGGGAACCGTTTTTGTGTTAGGGGCCACTGGCCCACAGAAAAATCAGTCATGGACCACACAAGTGAGACGCAACGAAACAAACCTTCCAGAAACCTCCAACTCTCACTGATGTGGCCCCCACTGAGACACCTCACTCCTCGGGTGGTTCCAGAAACCTCCAACTCTCACTGATGTGGCCCCCACTGAGACACCTCCCTCCTCGGGTGCTCCAGCTCCATGGCGGGAAAGGGGAGGAAGGGAAGGGCAGGAGGGACTGAGGTTCAAGGCCTCAGGTCAGATTAAGCCTTATGGGGTTCCAACGTTAGTGGATTTTGTGGGCCCCCTTAGGCTCTGGGGTGGGGCCAAAAATGAAGGGTCCAGTGTGCCAGTGAGTGGGATAGGGTTGGGTTGTAGACTCTGGGTGGGAGGTGGGTTGCAGGAGCAGGCTGGGAGCAGGTGTCTGGCTAGGGAGGAGGACAGTAGGAGCAAGGTGTTGGTGGGTGTCTGGCCAGGGGGCAGGAGCAGCTCGGCTGGTACCTACTGGTCTCCAAGGATGAATATCTCTCAGGCAGGATCTCCAGGCAGCACTGGAAGAAGTGCACGTGCCACTCCTTTGGGAAATCCAGCCGCTCCTCGCCCCCAAAGTCCAGATCTTCCTCTGCCGCCATTTTAGTTGCCCTCCCCCCCATCCAGCCCATGCACGCTCAATGTGCATCACCCCCACATCTGGCGCAGCTGGGGTTCACTGGGCATGAGGAGGCCACACAGCTCCTGTCTCCCACCTCCCCAGAGCACGGTGGGGGGAGGCAGGGTGGATAAGGAAGCATGCACGTTGCTGTGGGAATGGGAGGAGCAGCACGCAAATGTGTCTGCACAAGCCGGATCCAACATGGAGCCTCAGAGCTTCCTCCCTCCCCTCCCTGCAGGAAGCTGGTGCTGGCTCCAATCTTGTGGAGGGACAATGCTAAATCACCAGCACAGGCTTCCCATTGAAGGGCGGGAGTGAGAGGGGACTGAGTTCGAGCTGCAAGCCATATTTAGCTCCTAAGTGAGTGTGAGGAGGTTCACTCACCACCACAGCACCCCCTGCAGTCTGTCCTAGGAATTAGCTCCTTCTGCTGGCAGGGTGCCTTCCCTCGGGTGGTGTCTCTCCTCTTTCCTCCAGCCCACGGTGTTCTCTTCAGGACACTGCCCTCCAGCAGTGCCCATGTCAGTCTCTGAGCCCCCCTTCCAGGGGATGTTGTTTCTTCAGCAGGCCGTGCTTCAGGCCCTGCAGTCTGGGGGTTTGCTTGGCCAGAGCTCCCCTAGCCCTGCCCTAGCTCCAGGGAGCCTCCTACTCCCCCAGCAGCCAGACTTTCACTGCCCTCCCAAGGAGCAGCAGCCCATCCTCTTATATAGCTCCCAGCTGGGCCCTAATCAACTAATGCAGCCTCAGCTGGGGCTAAACTCCCAGGCCCTGCTCCGGGCTGGGGTTTGCCCTTAAAGGGCCAGTG